ATTTGTCATGTATTCCTCTTCAATGATATGTTGCTTTCCCATTTCTTCTATGATAAACATGTTCTTAATTGGTTTAGTTGAGGCACAAGGAACATATTCATTTATATGTTCAGCAACAACACCATCAATCATGTCATCCATTTCTTCATCAAAACCCTTCATCCTCTCCTCCTCACTATCATCAAAGTGCACATCTCTAACTGCTTTATAAAGGTACCCTTCCCTTTCTCTCTAACCCTATCCATAAAGGTACTACCTCATGGTTCAGGTTTTGGCTCGTAATATATCTCAACACCACACTTATGCCCAACAACAAACATTGCTAACTCAACAGCATCTCCATCGTCCTTAAATGGCTTTAAATCTTCTTCAAAACTTTCTTGTTCATGTTTCCACCACATCTTAACAGTATTAACATCAAACTCAAGTTCAATAGATTTTACTAAGTCACATGTGTTGTACCCCAAAATTTGCCCTCCCATATTTCTCAAAACATGTCAAGAATAATCTCAAGTTGCTCAAGATGGCTCAAGAGTTGGACAGTCAAATCATCTCCTAAGGCAGTCAATTCAAAATTTGGGTTTTGTGTTGCATCAAGGTCCTTACATCCAAATGACCTCAAGTTCCCCACAATGTCCTAATATGTTCTCAAGTTCATCAATGTAAAATTTCAAGCCTTGCAGAGGAAGTTTGGTCAGCCAATTGCTCAAGAGGCCCAAAAATCAACTATGCTAGGGCAAAAGTCAACTGTGACCTATAACCAGTCAAACTTCAAGATTTTTTGTCAACATTCTCATTTTGAAGGATAATTCATCATTTGATAAAGGTTTGATCATGATTCATCAAGGATTGCTCAAGATTCATCAAGACTCAAAAGTTGCTAAATTAGGGTTTTGTAGGAAAAGTCAACTCAACTTTGACCAAGCATAACTTTCTCATACTTTATGAGAAATGACCCATCCAAAGCTCATTTTTAATAGGATGAAATTTCATACAATCCATCTTCACACCCCAAGATCAATAAATTCACTCACAAAAAGTTACAAATTTGGACATTATAGGTCATTTTTGAAAGTCAACAAAAACACCTTTTTTTCCAAAGCTTATAACTTGAGCATGGAATATCAAAATGAGATGAGACCAAAAAGGTTGGTTAGGGGACATCTCAAGGTTTCTAAAAAGTCCAAGAACACTTCCAAAAGTTCAAAATTGAAGAAGGTATGCATTGTTGAAGTTGGGCATTTTTTCCAAAGTTGCCAAAAATCAACTATCCTCAAAACTCCAATTTTTGACAAAAGGGCCCACTTTTTTCCACTTGATTTGACCTTGTCACACCACACACGTGTCCCATCTTCAGTTTCATGTCCATTCATTTATTTTTCTATTTTATTTAATTTTTATTGATTTAATTCATTTTAAATCAATATTAATTCAAATAAAATCCAAAAATTGATGGAATGAGATCTTTGTGATCATTACAACTTTCAAATATCATGATACACTCAATCAAATTCGTATCAAGCATTGTTGTGAACAAAATCTTGGATTTGGCATAGTTTTGGAAACATTATCAATGGTGATCATATCAAATCTCAAAATCTTCAATGCACATGGATTAAAGCCCAAGATTTGACCTAATATCATCCCATATACACACACAAGCCATACATAACAAGGGGACGACCTAAGCACTACAAAAAAGGCCAAACCAAAACTGGAAAAAACCTTGAAAAGTTGGAGATCGAAATCCACATTGGAGGCGTTTTCAAAGCAAAATCTCCACATAGCTCTCTTGTCTGCTATCCCTTGAAGCGATTGGAATCAAAACCAGGCCTTCTCCCTCCCTACAACACGCTGTAAGTGTTCTCGAACATAGCTCTGAACATGGGATCATGAATCCATGTTCTTGCATTTTTTTGCCAAAATATTGACATAATCTTGATCTTTGCATAATCTCCAACCTTTTTGCAATGTTTAATTTCATTCTTGTAGTTTGTATGGCCATGCCCGAAGCTAGGGTTTTGGTTCTTTGTTTTTAGGTGTTTTGATTATAGGCAAAATCAAGACAAGCTATGGCCATGGATGGACTTAGGAGAACGAGACGAACATGATGATGGGTTTGGTTTGCATTTTTGTGACCTAGAATGCATTATAGGATGATGCCACAGATTTTGATGCGGAATAAAATACGCAGGAAAAAATACAGTCTTTGTTGAAGAATACGAAGACGTGTCTCTGCTTCATTGGCTCGTTCAAATGTTTAGCACGTTTTTTTTTTATTTTCCAATATATTGCTTACTTTTCACATATAATGATCAGCGCTTATTTTATTAACAAGAAAGCAACATAGCTCAGTTGGTGGAGGCGTGAGTGGAAATACCATTGGGACCTGGGTTCGAATCCCAGGTCCCCCAATATTTGTTATGATTTTTCTCCAGGCAATTGTACGCAGCATCCTAGGCGTGGGCCATCATGTTCTTCCAGATCTCAAACGCCAAGTGGCCTACAAATCAAATCCAATGGCCTAGGTTGGACATCCACCATGGTCTCTGGTCAATAGGCGCATATGGAATCACAGAAGTCAACAAAGGCCAACGTTAATGGGCCTAGAGATTTCCTGATTTCACCTTCAAATTGGGCCCAACACCCCCCTTTGGTTATTTCTTTCCTTTTAATATTTTATTTATTTACTTGTTTTTATTCTTAATTAATTACTAACCAAAATAATTAATAATTTTCCTCATAAAATCAGAAAACATAAAAAATAATATTTTTATTAATTTCACTATTTCATTATTTTTATAAATAAACTTTAATCAACTAGTTTAGTTTTAATTAGGGATAATTTTAATTTTTTTGCAATAAATTAAAATTAATGTAGAATTAGGTTTTTAATAATTTTAATCATTTTTATTTTATTTCCTTAAATATTAAAAATCCAAAAATATATTTTTCATTTAATTAATTAATTAACTTAGTTTTAATTTCTTTAAATTCAAAATAATAAAAAACATGCTCTCTTTAATAAAAAAAAAGGGTCAAAACCCTAAAAATGCGCCGATTTAATTTTCCTCGCACGCGATTTATATTTCCAATATTGTAACTGCTTCCAGTATGTAATAGCTTTTAATTAGGACTTTATTTATTTACCGCTTTATTTTTATTTTCCGCAATTTAAATTAAAGGGTTTGTCTTTGGCGATGTAAATACCCGACGCCTTGTAATAACTTAGATTTAATTTCCCGCAATTTAATTTCCGCACAGTATACAATGTTAGATGTTTGATAAATAGGCAATGCATGACAAGATCAATCTTTAACCTAAAATAAATATAGCTCACCCATAACATGTACAGATACTATAACCGAACTAACACACTCGCACATGCCACTCTTAGGGTACACCTCACTTGGTTGCCTCGAACGTGGTCATTGAGTATAGGAAGTTTTAGAGGTCGCCCTCTTGTCCAAAGATCATTAAGTTGCCTCGAAACGGTTGCCTCAGATAAAATGATCTAAGACATTAGGGTTACCACTAAGGCGTCCTAACATTGCTTTAGTGACCACACGTCCCTTAATCAAATTGACCCGAAAACTCCGACGACGATGCTACCTACTCCTCAATAGTGGGATATCATTGTCTAAAGGACATCAACACAGTTTAATTCTTTTTTTCGAGTAGGTAGATGATTCTTAAGTACTTGCTCCTTTTAAAATAAAACAAAACTTTTCGCACTCACACTCTCTTTAAAACAAAAACTCTTTTCAAACCCACAAACACAAAGAAAAGCAAAATTTTGAAAACACAATGAGCAAGTACCTAAGAGCCTGTGGGTAACCACGGATAGAAAGGGTGCTAACACCTTCCCTTTCTATAATCTACCTCCCGAACCCGAGAAATATCTCAAAAAGGAATTTTTCTGTGCTTTTGTCCTTTCCTTGTTGGATAAAATAAAAGACGGTGGCGACTCTTGCTTACCGCGACATTTTGCAAAAACAAACGCAAACGCGAACCAGCATTCCAAAACAGTCAGTTCTATTTCCCACCGATCACGACATGCTTCAAAGAAGGAGCAATAATCTACGTCTTGACTATTAAAGCCAAATACATCTCCACCATCGTATCTAAGGTCTGGGTCTTTTATAAAACAACCATTTGTATAAAACACTACCTTAAATGTACGCATTTCCTATACATAATGTTACCAATTAAAATTAAAATCTGCCAATTTTAACTCAAACGTAATTCAGTACAAACAAGTATTTTACCTATTCGGAATCATATATGAAATACTAACTACAATAGGAACAAGATATGAAATATGTATTTTTAACATTACAAACACTCTGATTCCAACCCTATCATTATTAAATTGGGACAAAGTGAAATACATGGGACTACGAGAGACAAAGGAATCAAATGAAATGAATGACCACACATAGACAAGAAAATGAAGGACAAAGCAATAAAGACCACCACGACAAGTCGTTGTGTAGAACACAACTAGGATTTCAATAGGAGAAGAGAAAACAACTTGTAGAAAAGTATTTGTTTAAGACTTTGGAAATGAGTAGCAAGTAGTGGGTTTATCACGTAGCGTTACTTTTTTCCACACTAACAATTCCTTTTTTTTACAAAGATCATATATCGAAGGAAAACTTTATAGAAACTAAAATTGTATAGTAACGTATTTATATGAACTAAAAACGACGTATATAACCATATTAATAATGGAGAAGTGGAAGGGGAAATATACCAAGTTGACAATCCAAAAGCCAAGCAAGTTAAGTTTTGGGTATGAAGTTAATAAGTCAAAAGAGACAAGGAAGTGGCGCGAAGCAAATACCATAGCAACTGTTGTGGTTCTCACTTCCTTTACGTAAACAACAATTACAATAACAATCACAGACTAACTTTCAATTCAACCCACAAATATCACATGATATCCCATTCTCTCTCTCAAAACTCTGAACAACCATAACTCTTCTCCCACCGTTTCCATGGCTTCCTTGTCTTTCACTCCTCACCCACTCGCCTCCTTCGTTGCTTCTAACAAATTCCGGTTCGGTACCGGTTCGGAGTTCCAGGTTCAGAAGAATCAAAAACTCAGTTTCACCGTCTGTAGAGCTGGTTCTTCTTCTATAGCCTTTCGTCACCTCGATGCTGATGATTTCCGTCATCCTCTTGATAAACAGGTTTTCCTCCCATTTATTTCAACTTTCTTAGGATTGGTAGAATACCTTATTTCACCTCGATGCTGATGATTTCCGTTATCCTCTTGATAAACACTTGTGTATGTGTTTCATAGATTTTTGTTCTTTTGGGAGCACTAATGTTTTGTTGTTTGATTTTGCTTTTCATCTATACAGAATACGCAGATGCTGAGAGCCATTCCGGGATTGAATCAACTCGGAAAAGCTCTTCTAGGTATTCAAATTATGTTGTTTACCATTCAGCTGATTTTCTTGATAACTTGAGTTTTAAGCTGTTTCTCATGTTCTAGCTGATAGTGGAACTGTTACTTCTTCAATTTGGGTTTTGCTGATTGTTATAAAATCTTATCTTCCAAATAAGAGGTTATTTTAGAAGGATAGGTTAATTTCATGATTAGTGTAAGCATGGTTTTATTTATTTCAAAAAATTGCGGTTAAATATGGCTGATGTGGCTGCAGCTATGGTCAAATGGAGACATACAAAATATTGATGCCACAGCCACTGTCACATTCATGGAAATGTATTTACTGAAATATTGTAAGTTGGAGATTGGAAGGAAGGAGTAGTATTCAGTATTTGAAAATTAAAGTTTGCGAGTCGTGCAGGGGAGATTTACGACTTCCATGCAGAAAGAGAAGTTAAAGTATTCTTTATTGTGATGTGTAGCCAATTTAAGTGCGCTAGACCAATAAATTGTCGATGCGTAGTGCGTACAATATGAAAGAAAACAACATTGGTTTAATAGGAGTTAGTGACGTGTATCCTCTATTGACTTAGTCCACCAATTTCGGAAACACGAGGGATATTCAACAATAACTATATGAGACAACCTGTGCTCAGCATAACTAACTCGAAACAAATTTAATGCGAAGTTGATATGTGCTACAACATGGATTAGCTAACTGTGTTTTATGAGCAATACAGATGTTTTGCGAGGAAAACATTGTAGAAATATCATTGTTGAATAAGTTTCCGTCCTCAAGATGAAATGGGATTTCTGTCTAGAAGTCGATGTGATGAGACAAAGTCTATTTTAGGCGTTTTTATCGGGATGGTGTTATCCCATCCCAGAATTATTTAACTGATACAATTGAAAAGGTATTTATTGAAATTGTGAATTATACATGGAAGTACCACTTCTATTCAATATTTTTAAAATAAAACTTGCAATTACTGTATAGAGTATATGAATTGCATATTAAAAATCAAATGCAGGCCCTATATAGCATGATATACTATTTCATAGTTTGTATTGATCATTCAAGTTGTATGTACTATAGTTAGGTGGCGGCAGAATATTGTCGTTGTTGTATTTTTAATAGCAATGGCCTGCCAACATTTCATGTTGTTTTGGATGGATAATGATTGTACTGTGATTATTCTTTTCCATTTATAAAAAGCCGAGTTCATATTAAAATTCTCCGTTCATCTTAAGTGCATTATTTCAGATCATAATTCAATAATTGCCTGTTTATTGTTGTTGTTATTGTTGTAAATGCACACTTTCAGATACATAGTTGGAAAACTGCTATCTGACATGGTTACCTTAATGAGTTGCAGGAACTGTAACTGAGCAGGTTATGTTCCTTGAGAATATAGGAACATCTGTCCTTGTCTCCAAAAACCAGGTATTCTTAACAGTCAATAAAATAAAATCTTCTTCAAGGTGTGATATCAATATAGAAATAGCATACATGTAATAAAATAGATAAAAGCATACCTGCATTGAATTGTACTAGCCTCTTAGTCTAAGTGCTGTGTTTTTTGGTTAAAATCCACACTTACAATATGAAAAGGGATAACAATATGTTCATGATAAAATGTGCAATCATTTACATTTATAAACAAGTTCAGATATCTCTACGTAAACAGTTTGTGATATAAAAATTGCAGACATGTTGGCATTAGATCTAAAATAATTTGTGTGAACTCCATATTCTTTTATGCTATTTCCTCACAAATAAAGAATTAGTGTTCATCCCATTCCAATGATTCCATAAGTATTTCTATATACAAATATGCTTATGTAAATTAACTTGTTCCACTATACTTGTTACCAACTTAGTAACGGTGGCATGGCTCTGATTAAACATATGAAAGCTATTAAGTAATCTTCACTTCATATTAGTTCAGCTGTATGATACAATTTCACCTGTAAATTATGGCAGCAATACTGTGTTTGTGCCACCTAATGTCAACACATTGGATTAACTAATGGTGTATTATTGTGTTCTCAGCTTTCTGATCTTCACGACTTAATGGCGGAAGCTGCTGAAATATTAAATGTCAGTGCCCCTGATCTATATGTTCGTCAAAGTCCTGTGCCAAATGCATATACATTAGCGATAAGTGGTAAACAACCGTTCGTTGTTATTCACACAAGCCTAGTGGAGCTTCTGACAAGAGCAGAGTTGCAGGTTCTAATTTATTTTGTAGTTCTATTTTTAGTTTTTAAAACCGATTTCTTAACTAGTATACTCCCTCCGTTCCAAAATGACTGTCGTTTTAGCAAATAAATTTCGTTTCAAAATGACTGTCATTTTCACTTTTCAATGTAGTAATGATTACTATTTTTCATTTGTGCCCTTTACTTTTTACTCTCTACACTAGTTTCAATACATTAATAGGGTTAATTTTATAAAAGTGTAATATATTATGACAACATCATTGCATTTCTTAATTTGTGGGCAAAAACCTTAAGCGACAGTCATTTTGAAACGGAGGGAGTAGCATCCACGAAGCTTTCTCCCCATTCTTAATAGTAAACAAGCAATAAGTTTCCTGGAGTTAGACTTAGACTTGAATGTTGTTGGATATATATATATATATATATATATATATATATATATATATATATATATATATATATATATATATATATATATATATATATATATATAGGAATCATTTCATGAGAAATACATTCTTCACTTCCATTTTTCCAATTCACCTTTTACAGGCTGTTTTGGCTCATGAGTTGGGTCACCTAAAATGTGATCATGGCATGTGGCTTACATATGCAAATATTCTAACCCTTGGAGCCTATACTGTTCCTGGTAGGTGATACAGAGCATTTTTCATGTTTTAATAATGCGTGTATAAGGCACATGGTTATATGTTATAAACAATGGTAAAGTGTCTAACTATGTTGGATTTTTAAAGTTGGAGAAATACTTTTTCTAGGACTCCTATTGACTGCACGGAGAATGAAATCAATGTTACTCTTAGTCTCTTACCCCATATTGACCATAAGACTTATCGATAATGTCATAAACCTTATTTCCAATCTTTTCTTTAGCTGTTGAAAACATTGCTTTATTTTGAAAATGGATTTATATCTGACGCCACCTGTTCCAGCTTGTTTATTGCTGATGAGAAAATACATCTTTTTAGTCTGTTATACTGAATAATTATCTTGTGATTAATTCAATTTGTTTTAGGCATTGGAGGTATTATAGCTCAGACACTGGAAGAGCAGATACTTCGCTGGCTTCGAGCAGCTGAGTTAACTTGTGATCGGGCAGCTCTTCTCGTTGCTCAAGACCCTAAAGTATGCTCATGTCAAATTTTATAATTTATCTATGCATTGGTTTAATCAGAACTTATGTAAAATTTGCTGTTTTAATTATAAATGTTCATTTCTTAACTGTACAAAAGGTTGTCATCTCCGTGCTCATGAAATTAGCCGGTGGATGCCCATCTTTGGCTGACCAACTAAATGTTGATGCGTTCCTGGAGCAAGCTCGATCTTATGAAAAAGCTGCTTCCAGCCCTGTTGGATGGTACATAAGGTTTGTAGTAATATCTGTAGGCTGGCACCACAATAAAGTTGAATTTTGACATTTTCGTTTAGAAGCTGAGCTTTTTCTGCTGATTAGGAATGCTCAAACAAGGCAACTTTCACATCCTCTTCCTGTTCTACGGGCTAATGAAATTGATGAGTGGTCAAGAAGTTCAGCTTACAAATCTCTTTTGAAACGTGGAATACCTATCAGATCACAACAACAGAAATTGTAGCTGGGCACATATTGTTCAAAATGCACAACAACTTAAGGCCTGTTCATGGTTAGTTTGTCAAAGCTATACAATTTTTGTTTTCTATCCGACAATATTCATTCATTTGTTTGTTTAGCCATTGGTAAGGATAATACATTGAAACCCAAAATGTTAAGACATTAAGTATATGAGTCTCATGTGCTATATACATTAGTTTACCTCTTTTATAATCAATGCGGGACTAACCACATACACTTAAGCTCCAACAAAAACAAAGTTAACTTCCTATCAGTAGCAGTGATATTACAGTTTCCTACTTGCCTCTGTGCTTGTTTCAGGAAGTACTTAAGGACTCATGCCTGTAATGTTGGTCTTAGAAAAACTCTGCTTTGAACTTGCATAAAATACGATGTTCATTTGTTTGTTATCCATTATCATTGCGAGTACTTGTACTTGATAGCGATTTCATTTCTCACTTTTTTTTACTTGTCTTTTAAGTGTGATGTAGCAATGGTGAAAGGTTCAGGAAAACAATAAGTTTGACTTATTTTGGATCTACAGCTGCTGCAGACTATCACCTCATACTAATACTGCAGATCAGTAAATGTATACATTATTCATTTTGATTGTTACTATGTTGGTCACGCTGTAAGTAGAATTTTGATTATAAGAGGGATTGTGTTTTTACTAGAAACACTGTCCCTTTGAAATAATTATATATTATCAGACAAGTTAGAAACTCAGCTATGTAAATTTCATGATTAAAAGATTCAAGTGTTGTACCCTGTATAAACTCTGTATGAATAATAAATAATAAGTAATTGATATGATCTATTACCATTTGATACAAACTTTAACAAAAGGGCTTTCCATGTTAAGTAATCAAGGGTGTTTGGATTTACGTGTGGTAAAACTGATTATGAATTAATTAATTTTATAAAAATGATTTGATTTAAATGTGAGTTGAACATCAATTAATTAAAGTGAATTAAAAATTAAATTCAATATTAGAATTAACTGTTTCTAAAAAAAGCTTCAAATTATGGAATTTAGTTGTTGGATGACATATTAGAATGATGAATCTTCATTGGACACTTGTGTAAAGTTGGTTTACACTCAAAGTGCAATCCTAATAAACTCGTGCTTTTTCAAAAAAAGAAAGAAAATGAACATAGACAAAAAAGCAGTCAGGTACGAGGTTCATGGATATAACTAACCATAAGAGACAACTAAGTGAACAAACACAACAAAACCGGTAAGATGCAAGGTTTCTTGCTTTTTTTTGAACGATACAAATTAATTAATTAATACTAGTACGAAATTGAACACTAATCAGAAAAGGAAAAAGATAGCAGGGTAAGTAGAGAAAAATAAAAAACAATCACAAACCAATGGTAAGGAATGAAAGTGGTTAACAAAAAAATGCCAAATAACACGTCAGCATAATGCAAGTGGTCCACGTGTCCATCATATGGGACTCACCATTATCATCTTCCACTAGTGGTGCATGTTATAAAATTCATGTAGAAATTTGAAGCTGTGGTTGTTATTAGTACCACCATCTTCAAACTGAGAACAATGCCAGGAATCACAGGCCCTTCAGATTATTCTAAAGAACCTATTCGTCACCACTCTCTTCAAATTAACTCCAAGGTAACCTCAATTTCCCTTTCTATTATTTCCTTTTTTTATGTTGCCAAATTTGTTCTACCATAGAATGTTTACATTGTAATTTATGTTGCTTCTCAGGAACCTTTCAATGCTGAGCCACAACGTTCTTCCTTGATTTCATCCTATTTGACTCCCGCGGATTTGTTCTACAAGAGAAATCATGGCCCGACACCAATAGTCGATGACATACAAAAGTGATATGTTGATCATGTGAAATTATAATACTTCTTTGGTCAAAGTTGTTCGCTGTGATTTCTGAATGAATTGTAACCTCTTTTTTTCATGACATGTTTGGCAGAACAGATACTGTGTATCAATATCTGGCTTGATAGAAAATCCCAAACAGTTTTTTATGGAAGATATCAGGTTGGTGCTGGTTTACGAATCTCTCAGATTATAAAAAAAAAGTAATATCGACTTTGATTACTATATGTGTTCTCCAGTAACTCGTGTTTAAATAGAAAACTGACATTGTTATTTGATTATAACAGGATACTTCCCAAGTACAATATCACTGCCACACTACAGGTTGGTTAGATATAAGTCCATATACTAATAATAATTATTTATCGGATATGGTATAGGGTTGTATGAAAGAACCGCACTATTTTTTTTTTATATGTGTTGCATCCAGAATTTGGCTTTGATTTTTCTTTCTCTGTGGTGTTTTCAGTGTGCTGGAAATCGAAGGACTGCTATGAGCAAAACTAAAACAGTTAAGGGTGTTGGATGGGGTGTTTCTGCTATTGGGAATGGTTAGTATCTACATTTTTGGGTTTGATTCTTTCAGTAGCATGTGAAATTGTGAATGCTTGCATAGATTTTCATTATTCTTAGCATGGTTTAAAATTGCAGCTCCACTTAAAGTTGCACTGCAGTTGCGGTTGCGATTGCGATGTACTGTGGAGACGTCTAAAACTGATGCATTATGGACTGTAGTTTAGAACTATATTTCTCTTGAAGTTTTTCTATCAGATTTTTGTCAGAATTAGTATATCTATTGTGTTTTATACAATATCTTACAATTATGTTGTTTACTTGTTTGTGTTTTTCTGTTCAAATATGTGGAAAAGAAAATACATTAACCTTCAATCGGAGTTTGATTATATTTTTTTCCAGCGGTTTGGGGTGGTGCCAAACTGACCGATGTTCTTGAACTTGTTGGAATACCGAAGTTGACAAGTACAACTAAATATGGAGGAAAATATGTTGAATTTGTAAGCATTGATCAGTGTAAGGAAGAAAATGGAGGTCCATACAAGGCATCAATTACACTAAGTCAGGCTACTAATCAAGAAGCAGATGTTCTACTTGCTTATGAGATGAATGGAGAAGTAAGAAGGGAATACTCCCCCGTCTGGACTTGATTATAAGAAAAAGTTTCGAATTTTAGTTTAACATCTTGTTGCTTTCCCTTAGTCTCTTAACAGGGATCATGGGTATCCGTTACGTGTGGTGGTTCCTGGCGTCATTGGAGCTCGGTCTGTTAAATGGCTGGAAGCTATCAATATCATAGCTGAAGAATGCCAGGTATGAATGATGCAAAATAATGTAAAACAGTTCTGAAATATCTTTCACAATTTATTTTCACTATGTACCCGAATCAACAATTTATTTTCTCTATGTACCCAAACCAACCGTAACATTATCATGTATCAGGGTTTTTTCGTGCAAAGAGACTACAAAATGTTTCCTCCATCTGTAAATTGGGAAAACATTAATTGGTCATCGAGGCGACCTCAAATGGATTTCCCTGTTCAGGTATTTCCTCTATGAGGTTTTTGAACAAAATATTTTGTAACTAATACTTTTGATTTCACTTTGGCAGTGTGTTATATGTTCTCTAGAAGACACGACCACAATAAAACCGGGAAAGGTCAGTTTACGCGTTAATGTTTAGTCGATTAGAAATGAACTGAAAACATGATTCTAACATGATTTCTGCACTTCAGGTGAGTATTAGTGGATATGCAGCATCGGGTGGTGGCAGGGGCATTGAGAGAGTGGATGTCTCAGTTGATGGAGGGAAAACTTGGACGGAAGCGTCAAGGTTTCAAAAAAGTGACATTCCTTACACAGCAGATGATGATGGAAACTGTGACAAATGGGGTTGGGTGCTATTTGAGGCCACAGCTGAAATTCAACAAAGCACTGAGATTATTGCAAAAGCGGTACTATGCGTGATATTTCTTCCGCAAAATTTCATGTTTCTAACTTTTTGTCTTTAGTTCATACCATGGTTGAGAAAATCCTTTATAGATTTTCATTGAATATTAGTGTAAGAAACAACACATAAGAGTCAGACACAATCTCCCATAATGTCTATTGAATTCGTTGGACTGATTTTGCAGGTGGATTCAGCAGGAAATGTTCAATCTGAGAAGGTTGAAGACATTTGGAACTTGAGAGGGATATTAAACACTTCATGGCATCGGATACAAGTTCATGTTAATGATTCTAACTCTTAAAAAAACTAGTGGGATACACCTAGGTAAATACGAATACAGGTGTGGTACGCTGAAATGTCACCCTTTTTAATGTTTATTGAAAAACAAATTAATTGAATGCATAATTAATGGAAAAAAATGTTATAGAATTTGAATGTATAATTGATCAGTAACTTCATGTTCCCGTTAATATTCAATATTTTGATTACTAATTTTATGTTTCCGTTAATATTCAATATTTTGATCAGTAACTTAATGTTCTCGTTAACATTCAAAATTTTGATCAGTAACTTCATGTTCCTGTTAATATTCAATATTTTGAATAATAACTTTATATTTTCGTTAATATTCAATATTATGATCAATAATTTTATGCTTCTGTTAATATTCAATAGTAAGTTCAAACTTTGATCCATGTTTCCATTATAATTGTTTTAATTTGAAATTAAAAAAAAATAGTAATTATGATTTGGCATAAACAATATTTGGTAAATTCTAAATAGTCTTATTTTGTACGGCAAAAACAATATTTATTTTATGCATAAATATTATTTATGTTATCATAAAGTGAAAAAATCATGTGATAAAAAAATTTAAAAAAATTTAAGTTTCTTCAGATTAACATGTAATAAAAATGAATGATAAAGATTTACTTGTTGGTTATTAGTCTTTTAAAACTAAACCAAGTCCCACATCAGTTGTTTAAAATATGTTGAGAAAAAATAGATTATAAATATAAGAGTGTTTTTCAATCTCACAACATACACTTCACTTGGGCCTGTGGGGCCAGAATGGCCAGCAATATCTATAGTAAATAAGTTAAAATATTAATATCGCTGGTACTATGCTAAGCATTGCTTAGTCATGTGAGATCAGACATAGAAAATTAGTTTAAACTTTATT